CGGATTGGGGCCGGGTGTACCCGATTTTGGCCACCCCTCAAAATAATACGCCTTCCAAGTACGATCCAAGCTTGAAGGAGGTACCATCACCGTTCTCCGGAACCTCTCTGATGTTTTCTGTAGGGATGCCCATCGCATAAAGCACGACTTGCACGAAATCCACCAAAACACCTCACAGGGTGTTCTTTGAGATCCCAGGCAGTTATCATTCCGCAATTTTGCGTCAAAGCAGAAAAAGGTAAGACTTGGCCATCGTAACTGAGAGAACACCATCGCGACCACCTTTTCAGCTTCCGGGACTCGTACTTCGAAGCAGAATTGCGCACTGGGAAGACTCCTAAATCGTCCAGAACTTGGAAAGTGTGCAGCGTAAGTAAAGTTTCTGTACTGTGGGATCTGCGCTACGGCACTCGAATTGCAGGCAAGCAGCCTGCAAACGTTGCCTAAAAGCATCCCAATTATACTATTATTGGAGTTGAAAACAGGTCGGCCATGACCGACCGTAGATGGGTGAATGTCGTTGGAGTATTCGGGGGGTGCTTGTGCTCGCCAATCGATCACGGCACCATATCACGTCGTCACGCCCAAACACCAAAAATACTCTCCATGAATCTACACCATTATGTGGCTCTCGCGAGGAAAACATCAAGAAGCTTCTGGTCCCCCCACACCTCATCACTGCAACCTGCGTAGCTGTCTACCTAACATGTCACCAGTCATACCATACTACGAGCATATTGAGTGGCCCCGCCGCTTTCACCTTCTGAAGGAGCTGCTTCCACTTCCCCTGGGTCGCTTCACTTCCTTGTGGCGCGTTTTTGTGTCTGCAGGCGAGATTACTTCGATTTCGAGCAATGATGTAGGCAGTAGCGTCAGCGTGTGCGTGATGTTGGTTTCGCCTTGTCTGCACAGAGGCACAATTCACGCCTGAAACGCGTATAGAAGCGAATTGTGCCTCTGTGCGGACAAGGCGAAACCAACATCGCTCACGCGCTCACCGTACCGCCTACATCACCCGAAACCGAACAAATCTCGCATGCAGATACAAAACGTTCCACAAGGAAGTTAGCGACCCAGGGGAAGAGGAAGCAGCTCCGGGAGAAGCGGACGGCGGCGCTGAGGTGGTTGCGCGTGGGGTGTAGATGAACGTCCGCAGTGGCGGCGCTGGTGGTGACCGAAGAACCCCTCCCGATGGCCGGTACCGGCATCCTCTTTTATGTGATAGAGGCGTAGCCATTAGACCACTGCACAGTCAGCGCTGACTACGTAGTCAAATTGTCACGAAGCATTATACACGGGTTCGATTCCTAGCTGGAACCGGAACACACTTTTTGTGGCACCGTTAAATGTTCACCAGCGGCATGACGAGGGGTCCGGCCACGGAGGTTGCTGTTCCAGCTGGGAGGCCAAGAGCCTTAGAATACATGTTTTATTTGATAAAGGCAGTAGTCTAATGGTTACTCCTTTTCGAGTAAAGCGTCCTTCACGATAAGATATCTACAGCAGTACCTCCAAATGATTAACGAACAAGGGCATGGCCACACCGAGCGATCTCTAGGCCCAGGTTGCCCACTCGGAATTGCGCCACAACCGCTCGAACCTTGGAAGTCGCTAAAGGCTTGGTGAAGCGCCGACGGAGCGCGGAGCACCGTACCACCGGTCGCGCGCCTACGCCACTGGTTCCGCCGCTGATATCGATGCCCTTTAGTTCAACACAGACACACCCTGCCTCGGCGCCTCTAGGGGCATGTCTCATCCACCCCCTTTCCTCCACTTGGATTCTGTACTTCTCTGTCGCTCCTCTTTCGTCTGGGGACTGCGTTTCATTGCCCTTTTTCACAACACGACCGGGCCAGATTTGGTCCCAGGCCGCACGGTACGAAGCCCGAACGGAAGCGGCGGAGATGGGGCGGATACAGGTAGGTCGCACACAAACAGAGCAAGAGCCGGAAGTAGCGCGACCGATTTGTGTGAGGCTGTCCTAGCGGCACCGCCTAGCACGGCCAACCAATTCGAGCCACATTCCATCCCGCGTACCTGTCACATCCGCGCGGAGCGACGACATTGTTTCTGCTTTGGCTGCCTTAACTACGATACAGCAGCAAACCGCAGTAGTACACGCGGTTGCTCCCATGTTCCTGCATGCCACAAAAACAATGTCCAATTTGGGGTCCCGATGAGATTGGAGTTGTTGTTATGTGCCGGTTAGCGCGGTCATGCTAGCCAGTGAAACGCACGTAGTGTGGGTTTTCTGCGGACTGGAAGGCATTGCGTTGTCCCGCAGAGAGTAACGCCGTTTCGTTGGTCAGACGGTCAACCGGGGTCGACCATCCTCATCATGCAATCGCATCTGCTGCAGGCTGAGATTGAACTAGAACAGCTGCAGCGGGAAGAGAGCGGGAGTGCCATGGCCGCGAGGAACCAAGTCCGCACGGTGACGGCCGGCTGGTTGGTGGGCGTGGTCCTTGGTTGGGCCGCCGGCTTCGTGCTGGGGTGCCTCTTCTCTCCCGCGCTCGGCTTCATGGTGGTAAAATCTCTCTCACTGCGGCAACACACCGAAAACTTCACTTTCTTCGCCATGTCAAGCCGTTGCCCATGCTATATTTGTCACCTCACAAAAAGCGCCGTAGTCCGCCTCGCAGGCGTTTCGTAGGTCACACCTCGTGCTCAATACATGTAAGGACTTGCTCAGCACGGTGCTGCGGCACTCGGCTCGGTGCAACTGCAGTCTGGTAGATGGTGGAAGGCCCGACGTGCCCCTATCCGTCCCAGACTTGTAGATCGGGGCTGGACGGGATTATGTCTCAACATGAATGTCATAAGTGTGATCTCAACTCGACGATCAACTCGACGATTACGTCGGCGTTGCCTGTCTGAAGCTTTCTTTTTCTGTGTTTTCGGGGGGGTAACGTCAGTAACGCCCTGGGCGAAAATGCAGACGGGGTGGGCATGTAACCACAACCCACGTGTCTCGTGCCATCACACCAGGTTCTCCCGTTCGTGTCGGGCGGGGCAATCGGCGGTCTGGTCTACTCGCGGCTCCGGGACAAGATCCGATCGCTGAGCCGACCACCGGTAAGAACGCTGCCCAACGTAGCTCGAACCGCTGCTGAGAGTGACCTTTGTTGTCGTCGATATTGCGGACGGTGGCGTCGGCATTGGTTGCTGTCCTCGTCTATAGTCGCTTCATCGTCACCGTTGTTATCACAGTACTGGTGGTACCCTGTTCACGCCCACCAAACTGTTCTGTCCGTACCGGTTTGCTTTCTGCACGTTTTTGCCCGTCCTGACCAAAAAAAAAATATATATAGATGCCGATGGAGCAGGAACATCAGCAACCGAGAGGTCGGAGCAGATCTGAAGACAAGCAAGAGTTCTTGCGGCAGCTTCAGGGGCGCTCCGATCCGTCTGCAACCTACCTGCACCTGAGCGCGGACGATAGCGCCCTTCCCTCCGGATCTTTGTGAGTAGCATCTAGCCTCGGGCTTGCCTTAACGCTCCCTGTTCGGCATGAACCTCTCTGCTTGCTTGGCGTATTGGCCCCACGCACATTCCGTCACACTAACTTCTCTTATGCCCTTGGCGCAATTTGGCTTCACACACACCGCGTCTACGAAGAACCGTGTCCCCCCAAACATTGTTGCGCGAACGCGACAGAGTTCCTCTCCGGTGCATCATCCACTCCTTTTCAAAGCGTTTGCCTGCCAAGGAACTTGTCTCATGTCGTCCTTTCCCTCGTGTGTGCACTCGCGCAGCTTGCGAAGAGTCGCGCTGGGGGCGACGCACATTCTCGTGAGGTCCGCGTTGGATGTAACGGCCGCTGCGGCCTGCGCGATGCTAGGCTTTGGCAGAGGCGGCGGCCGAACTCAAGGCCGATGACAATCGTTGAATGTACATACAGAGTACCCGTTTTTGAAGCTGGAACAGTTTGTTGTTGCGCCGTACACGTGACCGGGTTTTCTTGGATGGCACTTGTGAGCAGAGGATCGGAGAGTCTGCGACCCGGCGCGAGGGTTCACCCCGCCAGGTGTTGTGCCGCACTCTTCCCGATACAACTTTTATTTATTTGCGTTGTTTCATGTGGAAAATTGATCAAATCGCCTGATGTTCTTGTCAACATCGACTACGGTAGATTTCGTTTTTTTGGGAGAGAAAAGTGGTAGCACCGATCTTGAGCAGGGGCAAGTGCTTCGTCGTTGTCGACCGGGGATTTCGATGTGTGTATGTATGTGCATAAGAGACTGATGACCAGTGCAGGGTACACAAATTAACGATTTCGTGACAGCTGGAGCCACGAACTAGCGCGTCTCGCGGTTAAACGCCTCCTTGTCTCCCCTGGCGGGCGCCACATGTGCCCACCAAACTCGCTGTCGAAAGACGAGCAGGACCATGTTTGTATCGTGCAACCTTGAACCCCTCGTGACAGAGAGTGCGGAAGAAAGACCAGGGTCTGAGAGAAAGCCGTGTTGAGTATTCATTTCTCTCTCGTCTATTCGCAACAGTGCCTGACGGTCCTGATCAAGGGCTTCACGAAACAACAAGTCGTTCGGGCGCCAAGCGGCCCGGCTTGTTGCCTGCTCAAATGGTCAAAACACGATTGGGTAGGGACCCCAGTTTTTCTTGCGACGAGAAGAACCGGCTAAACGATTCTGTGGACGATTTTTTTGCGGCTTAGGACCCCCAGTGACGTCTGATTTCAGCGTATGCCGTTTCCCACTCCTCTAAAACCAAGTGACTTGTTCACCAAGCTACGATGTCGAGATTTCTCCCATCGATTTTCGAGTGAGATGTCGTTCCGGTTTTCACCTTCTCGCTCTTGCCTTGGGGGAGTCGAGGGACAAAGGAAGCGGGCTTCAGACGAGGCCGGGGCAAACCCCCGGGCCGTTACTTTCTAAGCGCATTTTCGAGCTATCAGCCACGGATCGAGAGAGCCGCACAGTTGAACCGTTGACATTGAACGATGACGTTGGGCCGCGGAGAGCTCGTCACAACCACCCCCTTCCCCGCTCATGAGCACAATTCCCCTCCCACCATCGTTTCTAGCTCTCTAGTTTTCGCCCTGAAGGACGTGGAAAGGAAACCGGTGCGTTTGGAAAGGATAGCGCACGCTCAAGAGAATTTGCTTCAAGACGTCAAAGGACTTCCGCACGAACGGTGCCCCCGCAAACTCCCGGTCTTCTGCACGCCTGTCAGCTCCCGGCAACGTTTGACGATAGTAACGTCAATAACTACGGTAGATCAGCAAGGCGTGGATACCGTTCGTGCGGCCGAAAAGATTAGGGAAATGTCATGGTGATGTCATGGTGATGTCATGGTGATGTCGCTTGCACAACACCCCTACGCGGCACTAGGATCCCCTACCGCATGTGCACAATAGTGAACGCGAGTGCTTTTCTGTCTTGGTGTCTTCTTACACCACAGCAGTCCGTGCTGTTTCGTAGATCGCACCGCTCTTGGTCGCTAAAGGCTCTAGATATACCAGACACAGGAACCGTCCATTGGAGGAAAGCATGAGAGAGACAAGAGAGGCCACTGAAAACATGACGAAACAGTCCAACACGCGGTCTCGTGCGCCGCTGCTGGGTCCTGTATCGGGGCGGGCATTCGTAAGTGGTGTCACAGCTTGCTGGTGGGTCCCATTGCTCTACTCCGCTGCTCGACAGCTCGAGACATGCGACTCACGGCCTCGGGCTTCAGCAGGGGTTCCTTGTACATCCATTCCGCCCCGTCCACCACCTGCAGGGCGGGTACGTAAGAGGCCACGAAGAGAAAAGAAAGCACAAGCAGGGGTGAACCGTATCTCGATATGGCGTCTGGGTTGCTGTCTTCCAGTGCTTTCCTCTCTGTGGGAAGAGCAGCGAAAACGGAACACTCGTCCAGCTTCCATTTAACGGGACATGTCAACGTTCTGTGTTGCTCACACTACTACCCACGTAAATAGGGCAATCATTTTGGAAGGCCGACTGCTGCTCGTGATTCGAAAAGTGTCGACCAATCAACAGCGTGCGCGGTTCTGTGCCACGGCAATGCTATATCTGTACTCGGTATGTAATACAGACGGCATCTGTTTTTCGGATACCACAAACGCCAACTACAGTATACAAAAAAGTATTTTATGGACACCAAGTCACAACTTTTGCCAATTCAGTACACTGCAAATCACCAGGAGGATGCGTTCCAGTGGATAACCGTGGTATGGGATCGGAGCCCCTTATCACAAGGGTTATACGACGGGGCTCTGATCGTTCAGACACCAGTCCAACGCTACAAATTACGCCACTTGACCTCTGTGTTTGCATTTAAATGCACAACCAATCGCGGCGTCTTGTGGCAAAATGAAGAACCAGCACGAGACGTTATTTCCTATTGAATCGAATTTCGGAGGAGCAGCAAGCGGCGGCAGCAAGAGGGACTCTCTCACCAGTGTGTCTCCCGAAACGTACGACGCCGCCGAGCTCACCAGGAAAACCGCACCCATCCCGATGTCGAAAGTGGTCCCCATGCGCCCCAAGGGAATCTGATCAAATGTGGCGTCGTCGAGGATAACAGGAACAATTAAGCCCCCGTCAAGACCCCTACTCCACTGCTGAAGATAACCATACAAAATCATGCCCCAAAGAAGTGATCATTATCACAACCACCTATGACTCGCCCGTTCTGGAGAGGGCTGGGTCTGTATGTCTATCCTGGTTCAAGACACACACCGGTGAAAAAACACGGAGGGAAGAAAGCGAGGCAGAGGACAGCGACACATACACCTACAGTACCCACATGCTTGTTGGCATCATCGCGTCCGAGACCCACGCTGAGCTTCGCCATTCCCGGTGTGTCGGCGATCGGCCCCGGGGCAATGCCGTTGACCCGAATGCCGTAAGAACCCCATTCCATAGCCAAGGACCTGTGCGTGCGGCCGACAAACAGGAGGGGGTCGAAAGAAAAAGAGGGTAAAAGTGGTACTGCATATTAACTCGGAAAAGCCATTACTGTTCGGCTGACGAATGCAAGCAAGAGTGCACTGGTAGTGCTTGTAAAACGAAGGCAAGCACTGAAGAAGCACAAACTGCTGGAGCGTTGAGGGGGAACGGGAGACTGGAAAGACCTCGTGCTTCACTATATCAGAGCAGTGCTTTTACAAGGTGAAAGGCCGGCGGGGGAGGGGTTAGTACTGTGGAAGCGACCGGAAACTGTACGCGCACGGCAATTTTGGACAGATGTAATGTCGAAAGGTGCCCAGCGCTGGGATTGTCCCTCAGGCATATGCAATATTGCTTTTTAGTGTGGGAGCCTGTCGCACTCCGTCCCGATATTTTACCAACAGAGGCGCCAACGTCAACAAGGCAACAATTCAGTATTTGGCTCGCAGTGGTGCCGGCATGTGCCCGCCTGACACATCGACGCGACTCATCGCGACCTGCCCCATTCACAGGAGGGCACAATTGGACCATTCAATCCATGACACGCGCTTTCATCGCCACTTATCCCGGGCAGTGGCACTATCCAACCGGCACCACGACGAGCCCAATGTAAGTTGTACCGGTAGGTTGCATGAGATACCACACACCCCGGACCGATTCTTCAAGCCCGATTACTCCACGATGCGAAAAACAAACGACACGTTTTTGAAAAGCTCTCAAACGGCATTGTTCCAACCACGCCGTTTTCGGCACCGTCGCTGTGTTTGCTGCAGAGTACGCGAGCATTGAAAATCGGTCAAGGGGGTGTAGAGGGTGTTGAATCTTACGCGTCCGACGGTGTGAACATCAGGGGGAGTGTTGTCTTATGCAAGCTATGGCATGAACATCCGACACGCCCCCGGGGCACGCCACACGTGCCTTGTCAGAGAGTCGATCGCGGCCTTCGCGGCAGACGCGTGGGCCTGGAACCAGGTCGCGCCGTAGTGCAGCGTCATGGTAATGTTGATGATGGTGCCCGCGCCGGACTCCCGCAAAGCCGGAAACGCCGCCGAGCTCATGTTGAACACCCCCACCGTGTCGATCTCCATGACCGTCTTGAAGCCCTGTGTGAAAGGAGATAATTGAGGCATGCAATGCTTTGACACGTGGTGTGGCGCTTCGCTCCCCGGTTGCTAATAGCGGCAAGCTGCTATGAAATCTAGAGACGGTAAATTCGCGGAACTTGGGGCGAATGGTGCCGAGCAAAGCCGAGTCAACCTTGAGTTTAAGCTCGTGCGCATTGGCGAGGAAGTTTCCGGCCGCCCCGTTCACGAGGGTGTCCATCCGGCCGTAGGTCTTCACCGTGAATGCCACCGAGGCCTCGGCACTTTCTCTTGACCTGTTGACAGAAAAGAAAGATACACATCGGCAGGTGTAAATAGCATTAACCTTGTCAATTACATGCAAACGAACTTTTTGCGTGAGCTGTGTTCGTCATATGTGACAACCACATCGTCTGTTAGTAGGATGCTACAGGGCATGGAGGGGGATACACCAAGAAGTGATTTTGGCCATCCCGCAATCTACGGCGCACGCCAACGGCGTTTGGAAGTTGTCGGCAAATATATACGCTACATGCAGAGGGGGGGGGGGGGGGG